CCTTGTAAGGCTAAAAGTTGTCATAGCCTTGTACGGCGCATGGATTTCTGTGCCTTGCGGCGGAAACCCTGATTTAAACACCGTTAAAATTTGTTGCCCTTTGATTTGATAAATAATTTAGTTGCTCTTTTGAAATTTTCAAAAAAATTTGTTGCCCTTTTGATTCCAAACTCCAAATAATTGACTGACCGTATAATATAAATAATATTTTCTTTCTTTCTTTCTTTGTCAATCAATTCGCCTGTCTTTTTGTGCTTTTGCTTTTATAAAGTTGGCCAATGTATTCCTAACGTGATGACATAAAAGGTTGAGCAAATCACAACCATCCACCTTTATTAATCTGTTCAAAAATGTTTAACAACCAATTTACTTTAATCTAAAGTAAAATTACACTTAAATAGTTTATAATTTATTTCTACCAATTAATGACAACCTTTTCTTTTCTTGAAACATAATATTTTAACCTCTCATAGTCGAAGAGTTCTTGTATAGGTGGGTAATGAAGAGTTTTCTAATGTCTTTAATAGTAGTATTAATTAGTGGTTTCTTTGATTTTGTTAAAGGTATCAATAAGTGGTCTTCCTTTATTCTTCCCTACTCCCTTCAGAGTTCAATTTAAAATTCTCTTAAATTGTGTTAAAGCTTGAAAAAGTTGAGATTGAGGGTGTGTTTGGTATGAAGGAAAATATTTTCTGAAAAATGTTTTTCAATTTTCTCATGCTTGGTTGTGTTAAATATTTTGGAAAATGTTTTCCAAATCAACTCATTTTCCTCAAATTTAAGGAAAATGACTTCCCTTCAAAACTTAAAGAAAACATTTTTCAAAACTCTCTTCCAACTTCAAATTACAATTACTTTTTGGTTGAAAAAATCAATTTATTTTATCCCTACCCTCAAACCAGCCCCCCAACCACCCCCCCCCCAAAAAAAAAAAAAAAAATTGTTTTTAAATTCAAATTTTTTACCCCACCTCACCCCTACCCCATCCCCTCCCAAAAAAATATTAAAAATTGTTTTTAAAAGATATTTATAATTTCATTTTTTTATTTTTTTACCCTCTACCCTCACCCCCCCTCCCCCCATCAGCCCCCAAGAAAAAAATTTAAGTTTGTTTTTAAAAAATATTTTCAAAATTTCATTTTTTCACTCCTACCCTAGACCCCCCCCCCCCCACCCCCACCCCCAAAAAAATTTTAAGTTTGGTCAATTTCATTTTTTCACCCCTACACTCGACCCCCCACCTACCCACCCTCTACCAGCCCCCCCCCCCCCACCCCCAAAAAATAATTTTAAGTTTGTTTTTCAAAAATATTTTCAATTTCAAAATTTCATTTTTTTCACCCCTACCCAACCCCCCCCCCCACCCCTCCAACCCCTACTAGCACCCCCAACCCAAAAAAAAAAATTAAGTTTGTTTTGAAAAAATATTTTCAATTTCAATATTTTTGCACCCCAACCCTCGACCCCCCCAATCACCCCCTACCAGCCCCCCACCCCACCCACCCCCTACCATCCCCCACCCCCAAAAAAAAATTTAAGTTTGTTTTTAAAAAATATTTTCAACTTCAAAATTTCAATTTTTCACCCCTACCCTCGACCTCCCACCCCCCAAAAAAAATTTAAGTTTGTTTTTAAAAATTATTTTCTACTCTAATAGAAATAAAAGATATTTCTCAAAAATATTTTTCATTCATAAATCAAACACTAAAAATCTTTTTCGGAAAATATTTTCTACTCACCAACCAAACATGAGAAAATAAGTCAAAAATCAACTTGTTTTCCAGGAAAACATTTTCCTTCATACCAAACACACCCTAAAATTTCTTCCATTTTGTGCTAATTAGTAAATGTGTGTTGTGTAACACAGTCTTGTAAATTTGATTTTAAAGATTGACTCCTATTGACTTTGCTCTCAAGTCTTAAGGGGTCGTTTGGTGTGATGGATAAGGGGAGTTAATCCTGGGATAAATTTTGAGCACCATTTAATCCTTTGTTTGGTTGCACAACATGGGATAATTTATCCCAAGATTAATAATTAGTCCTGGGATAAGTTATTCCTATCTTTGGTTGGAATAGTAATACCGGGATTAATATATTCTTCCATCTCACGATAACATATCGTGATATGGTATCGCATGGCCAAGCGGGCCATTAGTTTCCTCCTTTTAATCTGTCTTTACATTAATCTGTTTGTTACTTATTTTCCTCGTATGAATCTGTTTTCACATTTTGGAAATTATAGTCTATACTTTTCAACACTTTATTTGTTTTAGTGTTATATATATATATATATATAGTGGAGTAACTTTGATATTGGAAATACAACACACACAAATTAATATGGAGAAGCACATCTTCTTATTGATTCTTCACTTTCTAATTCAATTTTCTATATCACATGCTTCCTCTAATGAGACTGACCAGCAAGCTCTATTAGCTTTCCAAAATCTTATTACAAGTCCCACTCATTTTTTGGCCAACAATTGGACCAAAAATACTTCCTTTTGCTCTTGGTTTGGTGTCACTTGCACTCCAAAAAGGCAAAGGGTTGTGGCCTTGGCTCTTCCTAATTTGCATCTTCAAGGCACAATCTCGACGTCTTTGGCCAATTTGTCCTTCCTCAGTGTTCTCAATCTCGAGAACAACAACTTCCGCGGTGGCATCCCTTATGAACTTGGCCACTTGCCTCGCTTGCGAGTGATTGATATTCAAAACAATCAGCTCAACGGAAGTATACCAACAAGTCTATTTCAACACCGGAGAGTTCAAGTAATTTCATTGGCTTTCAATGAACTCAGTGGGGAAATGTGGAAAGGGCCATGGTATGTACCCGAACTCAGAGTCTTGGATCTCACCAACAATAACCTCACGGGTATGATCCCTCCTTCTGTTGGAAATGCCACAAAAATGATGAACTTCAGTTTGTCTGGGAATAGAGTCAGCGGCAACATTCCAAAGGAGGTCGGTAATCTGAGCCAACTTGCAGACTTGTCCTTGACTGATAATCAATTAACAGGTTCCATTCCTGTAGGACTATTTAATATCTCGTCGCTACTTGCCATAAATCTGCTATACAATAGACTTTCCGGTCCTCTCTTGCTAGATGAAGGAATTTTTTTGTCAAATCTGAAGTTTCTAAGGATATCTCGCAACCAGATTTTTGGTTGCATTCCTTCCAACATATGCCAACTCAGAGAGCTCAAAGTTTTGTCCATATCTTTCAACAACATAATTGGAGACATACCCAAAAATATTGATTGTTTATCCAATCTCCAGGAGTTTTATATTCATCATAATTCAATAAAAGGGACTATTCCCACTTCATTGGGAAATATTTCAACTCTGCAATATCTTTATTCTGGAAACAATCTCATGGTGGGGCCAATTCCTCCAGAATTAGGGAAGCTATCAAATTTGAGGGAATTAACCTTATCCAATAATTCTAATCTTATTGGTCAAATCCCAGAGGCTATTTTCAACATATCTTCTTTGGAAGTGATTCTTTTCAATTTCAACAACCTCTCAGGGAGATTTCCAACCACTACAGGTCTTCATCTTCCGAACCTTAAAGTACTTGAGTTGGGAGTCAATCAGCTGGAAGGGGAAATTCCATTGTTCATAACAAATGCTTCCAAGCTTCAGATACTGGCGCTAGAACATAACTCTCTCACGGGAGCTATTCCTACTAATTTGGGGAATCTTCATGAGCTGCGATCACTCTTACTACATCATAATCAACTTACCAATGAACCAAGAGAGCGTGAGTTGTTATTCTCCAATTCTTTGGCGGACTGTAGGATGTTGCAATGTATAGATGTGGGTGAAAATCCGTTGAATGGCGATCTGCCCAATTCTATTGGGAATCTTTCATCTACTCTTACATACTTGAATATACAAGATGCACACATCAACGGCCTCATTCCCACAGGTATAAGCAACATGAGCAGTCTAATGACACTAGACTTTCGAGGAAACAACTTGACAGGGAGTATTCCTTCTGATGTTGGTAAGCTTAAACAACTCCAAGGGCTCTATCTAACTAACAATAAATTGCAGGGACATATTCCAGAGGCGGTATGCCATTTATCTAATTTGGTTAAATTATATTTGTATGGTAATGAACTCTCTGGATTAATTCCAGAATGCTTAGGAAATCTTAGCATGCTACAAAAGCTTTCTTTGGGTTCTAATAAATTTTCATCAAAATCTCCATTGAGCCTTTGGAAGATGAGTGGTCTTCTCTATCTAGACGTGTCACAGAATTCAATAGAGGGAGAAGTTCCATCAGATATTGGAGGATTGAAAGCCATTGTAGAACTATATCTTTACAGTAACCACTTTTCAGGAATGATACCAACCAGATTCGGGGAACTCCAAAACCTGCAGTATCTTGACCTATCAAACAACTCATTTTTTGGCCAAATTCCATTATCCTTTGCCAACTTGATAAGCTTAGAATACTTGGATTTGTCTTTAAATGTATTGTCAGGTACTATTCCTAAGTCTTTGGGAAAACTCTCATACCTTAAAAGCATTAATGTTTCATTTAATGATTTAGAAGGTGAAATACCGAGTGGTGGCATTTTTGCAAATTCAACTCTGCAATCATTTATTCGGAACAAAGGTCTTTGCGGAATGCACATATTGGAGATTCCTGCTTGTGCTATCAATAATCCTGGAAAACAATCAAAGCTTAAGGAGGTTCTACTAAAAATTGTTACTCCAGTGGTTATTGCATCCTTTTTGATATTCTTGTTGGTTTTAATTTGGATAATGAAACAACAGAAGAAAGGAAAGTCCAAACATGTGGAACAGGTACTGGAGATCAGGACTCATCATTTAGTTTCTTATCACGAGATTCAACGAGCAACAAATAATTTTGATGAATCCAATTTAATTGGTGAGGGAAGCTCTGGCTCTGTGTATAAAGGCACATTATCTAGTGGAACTGCAGTGGCCATTAAGGTTCTAGATTTGGAAAATGAGCAAGTATGCAAAAGGTTTGATACCGAATGTGAAGTGATGAGAAATGTTAGACACAGAAATCTTGTTCCAGTGATTACTACATGTTCTAGTGACTATATAAGAGCCTTTGTTCTGCAATTTATGCCCAATGGGAGTCTTGAGAATTGGCTGTACAAAGAAGATCGCCACTTGAACCTTCATCAAAGAGTCACTGTAATGCTTGATGCAGCTATGGCAGTTGAATATCTACATCATGGTCATGCCACTCCAATAGTTCATTGTGACCTAAAGCCAGCCAATATTCTTTTGGATGAAGATATGGTGGCTCATGTTGGTGATTTTGGAATCTCTAAAATTTTAGCAATAAGCAAGTCCATGGCTTATACCGAGACATTGAGCACTCCTGGATACATTGCACCAGGTATAAAAAATCTACTCTCTTTGATTTTCTCTTATCATAATTAAGCCTCTCCAAATTTTAAAAGTAAAAAGAGCAAGTCTTTATTTATGCAGAATTATTGTTGTATTTCAATTGAATAATTTTTTTTTCAAACCTTTTCTAAGAATATGGCTCGGAGGGAATAGTATCTGCTAGTGGCGATGTTTATAGTTACGGCATCATATTGATGGAGGTTTTGACAAGAAGAAGGCCAACAGATGAAGAGATATGCAATGAAAATCTTGACTTGAGGAAATGGATCACACAATCATTTCCAGGGACTATGATGGACGTTGTGGATACCAATCTTTTTTCCAAGGAAGAACAGATCACTTCAAAAAGTGAAATCTGCATTGCGTCCATGATAGAATTGGGTTTAGACTGCACAATGGAAATGCCAGGATCAAGAATAAGCATGAAAGAAGTAGTGAAGAGGCTTAACAAAATCAACAACACATTTCTGGAAACATAGAAGTGATCAGCATCTGTTCGGATGGTGTTCTTTTCTGAGCTGCAAGTTAATATGATGTTTTTTGTTTCTTTAGTAAAGTCGTCGTATAGTACTTACTACTTGGAGTCATGTATTATTTGTAATTTCATTTGAGTGATTTGAACCTATTTTACTTTATCTATTTGTAATTATGTTTTGAATGCTTGAAAGAAACCAGAATGAAATTAATAGTCGCTTGACTCCGGTGAGTTTTTAAGAGTTTTTCGTGATTATTATTCCACAAAACTTTTCAAAAATTAGTCGACCGACTCTTCTAGCCCCAAACTTGTCCAGACCGGGCCTCACAGTCCTGGTAACTAGTACTCATTGCATCTTCATTAATTATGTTTCTTTTTCATCGTTTTGGTGTCATGAAATAAGAATTCAAAATTTTAAGTGTTTTTTTTTTGTGATCCACTGATATTTTGAAAAATAGTCGATCGACTTTGTTGGTACACAAATTTGGCCAGGCCAGGCCTTTTAGGAGCAGTACTTGTTGCAATTTTACTAATGACGTCTCTTTTTTTCCAGCTTTTTGATGTCATGAAATAGGAATTCAAGATTTTATGCCTTTTTTTAATGTGTTAGTTCACTGATTTTTTTAAAATTAGTTGACCGACTCCGTTGGCCCCTACTTGGACAGGTTGGGCCTCACACCAGTATTCGTTGCATTTTCATTAATGACATATCTTTTTTAATATTTCGGTGTTATAAAATTCGAATTCAAGATTTTAATCATTTTTGTATGTGTTAGCCCACTGATTTTTCAGATATTAGTCGATTGACTACTTGGCCCAAACTTGGTAACGTTGACCCTCAAAGGCCTAGTTACTAGTAGTCGTTGCATTTTCATTAATGGCATCTATTTTTCACTGTTGTGGTGTCATGAAATAGAAATTTAAGATTTTAAGCATTTTTCATGTGTGTTAGTCCATTGATTTTTCAATAATTAGTCGCTTGACTCCATTGGTCCCTAAGCTTATCCAATGCCTAGTGACCTCTACTCGTTGCATTTTCATTAATGACATCTCTTTTTTTAGTGTTTCGGTGTTGAGAAATAAGAATTCAAAACTTTAGCATTTTTGGTGTATATTAGTGCATTCGTTTTTCAAAAATTAGTTGACCGACTATGTTGGCCCCCAAAACTTGGTCAAGCTGGGGCCATAGGCCCTGGTAACCAATACTCATTGCAAATTCATTAGTTGCGTCTTTCTTTTGCAGAGTTTCAGTGTCACAAAATAGAAATTCAAGAATTTTAAAATTTTTTGTATATGTTAATTCATTGATTTTTCCAATAATCAGTCAATTGACTATGTTGGCTCACAAACTAGGCCAGGCCAAGTCTCACACGTGAGATGACCTGTACTCAGTGTCACGAAATAGAAATTTAAGATTTAAAGTGTTTTCCTGTGTGATATCATTAGTTTTCTGAAAATTACTCATCCTTCTCCGTTGCCCTTCAAACTTGGCTAAATCAAGCATCACAAGCCTAAAGACCAATAATTATTACGTTTTCAAGTTTCATCATCAACGTCTCTTTTGTCAGTATTTTGGCATCCCCAAATAAAAATTCAAGATTTTAAATATTTTTTTTATACATGTGTTAAGTAGGGATGTTCACGGGTCGGTTTGGATCGGTTATTAGTCAAAACCAAAACCAAACCAACTTAATTAGTTTTAAAACTATCAAAACCAAACCAAATCAAATATAATATACATTTATCGGTTTTGTGGTTATCGGTTTGGTTTGGTTTGGTTCGGTTATTCGGTTGTTAACCATACACAAAATAAAAAGAAACAATTCATTCAAAATGTGAAAAAAGTGACAACAATCCATTCAAAACAAATAATAGTTAGAATGACTTAAATTACCAAACTTTCAATCACTGAATTGACTATCAATAAAACTTTAAAATTCATTATATTGGTCTAGAAGGGAGAGAAAATAATATTTTCAATCCCACAAAGAATTGTCAGACACTCATATACATGAAATCAATAAGATAAATGTTTTCACCTTGAGCATTCTTGCTTTCAATAAGTAAAGTATAAAGAAATTTTAATGAAAACATATATAAGATCATTAAAATTGTTTATAAAAATAATATATTAAGTATGTATATTAATAAAATATATGTATATAATTCATCGGTTCGGTTCGGTTCGGTTATTTCTTCGGGTTTTTTCTAATAAAACTATAATCAAACCAAATACTACCGATTTTCCAAAATCTAAAACCAAATCAAACCAAACCCAAATAAAATCGGTTTTATTTTATCGGTCTGATTTGATTTATCGGTTTGGATCGGTTTTATCCAAATCGTGAACACCCCTAGTGTTAAGTCTATTTTTAGAAAATTAGTCAAATTGACTTTTTAGTGGACGGACCTTTAAAGACCCTTTGAGCTATGCCATGACATATTTTTCCGCCTAATTACGGTTGACATCGATGATTTTAATGATTTGATTATTAAATTCACAACGTCGTCATCGTCTATCCAAGAAGAAGAAGGACTAAATCTCATATTTCTCTCTCTCTCTCTCTCTAATCACATATCTCATATAAAAATGGAGAAAATTGGGAAAAGATTTGAAGGGAAAGTGGTGATTGTAACAGCTTCTACCCAAGGTATTGGATTTAGCATAGCTCAGAGACTTGGATTTGAAGGTGCTTCTGTTGTTATCTCCTCTCGGAAACAGGTGTTTTGTCTTCACTCCAATTATTTTTTTTTAATTTGGGATTTTTTTTGTGTTTTTGGAAATTTGGATGATTCTTCAATTGGGTATTTCAGATTTTGCTTAAAGTTAATGTCTTTATCCCTTTTATCTGGTTGTATGCTAAAAGGGTTTGTTTCTTGCCAAAATTTGGGTGATTCTTCAAATGGGTTTTTGCAGATTTTGTTAAAGTTCATGTCTTTTCTTTCATCTGATTGTATATACTAACAAATGGGTTTGATGAACTGAAGAGCTGGAACTTTTTTAGTATTTCACACACATACACATGATACCTGTGAATGGAGGATTGTTGGGCTAAATCAGCTCAAAGATACTCTTAATATGGTGTTATATTGTCCGTTTTAAGCCAAGCCCTCACGGTTTAACTCAAAAAAGTATTACGTCGTTAAGAGATCCTACATCTTATATGAAGCTTCTCAATCTGTCAGCTACCAACGTGGTGCTTTGTGTCATTTGAGAATTCCCCTTATTAGAATTTCACACACACACATACACATGATCCCTATGAATGGCAGATTGTTGGGCTAAATCAGCTCAAAGATGCTCTTAACATGGTGCGATATTGTCCATTTTAAGACAAGACCTCATGGTTTAACTCAAAAAGGAGTTACGTCGTTAAGAGATCCTACATCTTAGATGTAGCTTCCCAATCTTTCAACTGCCAACGTGTGACTTTGTAACCACAGAGGATGAACACATCTAATTCCGTGTGGATCCGGGTATTAAATTTTTAGTGCCTTAGGTGTTATGTTCAAATCGCACATGTCCAAGCCTTGGTGGGTAGTTACTTGTTTGGATTCAGGAATTAACTTTTAGTGCTTTAGGTCTCAGATTCAAATCGTATATGTCCAAGCCTTGGTGGGCAGTTACCTGTGTTGGTGGAGATATTAGGTACCACATGGAATTGATTGAGGTGTACACAGGCTGGGCTGGCCACTAGAGTTATCGAAAAAAGAATTACGTGTGACTTTGTAACCACAGAGGATGAACACATCTAATTCCGTGTGGATCCGGGTATTAACTTTTTAGTGCCTTAGGTGTTATGTTCAAATCACGTATGTCCAAGCCTTGGTGGGTAGTTACTTGTTTGGATTCAGAATTTAGCTTTTTAGTGCCTTAGGTCTCAGGTTCAAATCACATATGTCCAAGCCTTGGTGGGAAGTTACCTGTGTTGGTGGAGATATTAGGTACCACATGGAATTGATCAAGGTGTACACAGGCTGGGCTGGCCACTAGAGTTATCGAAAAAAGAATTTACACTGACTTGAATTTCAGCTGATCAAAACTTTTTATAGTTACAAGTAATTTGTAACAAAAATTGTGTCAAAGAAATAGAAACAGCGTCATTGTTTTTCTTGGACTTTTCTGTATTTGTGTATTGTTTACTCTCTTCATATTGAGGATTTGACTTTAGGTAGTGTCTATTTCATTTTACAGGAAAATGTAGATGAAGCAGTAAAGAAACTGAGAGATGGAGGAATTGAAGTGTTGGGATTAGTATGTCATGTCTCAAATGCACAACAGAGGAAGAATTTGATAGACAAGACCATTCAGGTATGAATTGAAATGATTCTGTTGTAAATTAACACTTCTTGGTCTGTGCTTGCATATCTCGGAGGTCAATTGCTATGTTGCTCAGACTCTTCAAAAATGTCGACGGGTGCGTGTCGGATCCTCCAAAGATAGTGTATTTTTGAAGGATCCGACACGGGTGTGGCAACATTTTTGGAGAGTCTGAGCAACTTAGGTCAATTGTATGTTATTTTCTTGGGAAATGGTTTTTGATCTAACAAGTTATGTAAAGCTAGTTGGTTTTTCTGGTGTCTAACTACGGAAAATGAGAAGTCAATGCTTACTACTTTGTATGATCCAACTTTGTTAATTGAAATTTGTAATTTTTCAGAAATATGGGAAACTAGACGTGGTTGTGTCAAATGCCGCTGTCAATCCTTCAGTAGATGCAATATTAGAAACTAAAGCATCAGTCCTTGACAAGCTGTGGGATATCAATGTCAAGGCCGCTATACTATTACTACAAGTAAGTTAATGATAAAAAAATCACGACAACAACGTTGCAAATGCATGTGTTACTTCGTCAAGCATTTATTGAATACATTGAAAGGCAATGACTATTTGTTCTAGTGCCACATATTTCCATATACTTCAAATTCTCGAATTCCTTTTCTTTTCCTTCATGTTCTGCTAATGCGCTCAATATTTTGATCTTTATACTGTTTATAGGATGCAGCTCCTTACCTTAAGAAGGGTTCATCTGTTGTTCTGATTTCCTCAATTTCTGGTTACTCGCCACCAGCTTCAATGGGTATGTATGGAGTGACTAAAACTGCGCTACTCGGACTTACCAAGGTACTAATGTTTAACTTGGCATCCCTGGCACATGAGTAACTATTATATCCTATTAGTGCTTTCTTCTTATTGTCTTATTTGGAAAGCCAGGCTCTTGCAGCTGAAATGAGTCCAGATACTCGTGTAAACTGTGTAGCACCGGGTTTTGTACCTACACATTTTGCTGATTTCATCACGAGTAATGAACAAGTGGTAAGTTCTTATTAAATGAAATCTTACTCGTAGAAAAATCTTATAAATATTCGCTATTTACTTACTAACTAGTTGCTGATTGTGTTTAGAGGAGAGAGATTGAGGGGAAGACATTACTCAATAGGCTCGGAACAACACAAGATATGGCCGCTGCTGTTGCTTATTTGGCTTCTGATGATGCTTCTTATGTAACCGGAGAAACTCTGGTTGTTGCTGGAGGAATGCCTTCCAGACTTTAACTTCTCGATTGCAGTGTCTCTCCTTCTGGTTTTAGTTAGCTTGCATCAGCCTAGGACGGACATGCTTTTGATGTTATGCAAGTCCTGTGACCGATACCAAGGGGAAGCATGAATCAGACCAATAAGACACTGCTCTCTGCCTGTCGTTACAACAGCAGAAGCCCACACCAGAGTTTCATTACCTTATTCCTTACTTTTGTAGAACTTCTTTCTTTTAGCTCTATTCACCTTGAGAGGAAATAGCTACAAGATGTTCAACTTTTATCTCAACTGATAGATAATAATCAACAGAAGTTTGATTAAGGTGAATAGCCTTAGAAGTTTGGAAAGTGTGCTCTTGTTTATATTATTTTTTCCAATAGTTTTGCAAACGTCAGGTTGCAAGATGATAATAAGCACATATTACCATCTCGAAATTGCATCTATTAGGACCATAAATATCTAAACATTGGCTTGTTCACATGTATCCTTATTAGTTCATCACTTTATCCCAATGAGAAGTTTATGCAGTCTTACCCCTACGTTGTAAGTGTAGGGAGGTTGTTTCTGATGGACCCTCGGCTCAAGTAGAAGAGAAAGTGAGAAATAAACTATGCATAAGAATAGTCTCAGCATTAACTAATACCAACATCACTAACACACACTATTCTTATACACTCTATCAAAACAGCTCCTAATTGTTCAACCTTGAACAGTAACAGTCTAAGGGCTCCCACTGTCCCACATTCCCTGGGAAATAATGGACTCTCTACCCTACTCCATTTAAATACCAAGATTTTAGGTCACTAACTCATGACATACACATCACGTATTGTCCTCTTATCACTAAACAGAAGGCCCACAGCAATGCAATTTAAACCCAGATTAATCTTTCTACTTTTCTACTTAGGAGTGCTTAAGCTTCATCAAACTCAATTATACACCAGTAAAAGAATTTGCCACTTTAGTAATACAGCCAAAATATCTGTGGGACAGGAATTTAAAAAGGATCTGAAACAGATATGGTTGACCGTTCCTCTATGCATTTGTTTTTTGTAGTATGTGTTAGTCGAGTGATTTTTGAGAAACTAGTATTTGAGTAAGTGCATTGTACGTATATTCAAGTAAGGACTGATTCACGACACTTTCGATATTGAGCGTAAATCTATGTGTAAAAAATCACTAAATTGCAACAAATAGTCAATATGAACCATAGTCATTTAGTACAAAATTGAACACATAAAATATGATTTTAAGACATTAATAATAGAATCAACGGCAGAACTAAGATTTTCACTAAAAGGGGTTCAAAATATGAAGAACAAAACAAACAAAGGTTCAACATCTATAATATATACATAAAAACTATTTAAACAATATGTATAAATAGTGTAATTTTCCGTCAAAAATGGTTTGAATGAACCCTCTCGGCCTTACCTGACTCCCCGATAAAACAGATGGGTCAAGAATGATCCTTTCAACTTCATCTCATATCAATTTCTGATAAGATTGTGCTTTGTAATAACAATAAATATAACTAAATAGATTCATTTTCTAATAAGGGTGGCTTGCATTTTTCCTTAAACTTTTGTGTAACCCATAAAATTATTGTGCCAGGTAACTCTTACAAATCTCTATGATTTCATTGCATTATACATTAGCTTCTAAATAACTTTAGAAAATGATTGTTCAAATACATTTTATACTGCAACATATGAATCTGATCTATACTTTTTAAATTACTTATCCATTTTTCAAATTAATTAAGGAAATCAATGCATTGATTTTGAAAGAATACATTATACCTCCATTTGAATCTAGTCCATATCATTAAACCATACAAAGTAACCTTTTAGATTCTTAACAGTTTGAGAGTAACTAAGAAAAGTAATGCATTGCTTTTTTAAAGTGAATTACTCATTATATTAATTTGACACCTTCTCATTTTTAGTATTTAGTATAATATAATATGATTAGCTACTTAATATTTCATTAATTAAATATTTTATAATATTATGATTGAATGTAGGGATAAAATGATAATTCAACTTTGCACTTTGGAGTTTTCCACTTTTAGTAATATATATGATATATAATATATGATTAGTAATATATATGATATGATGATGATGATATATACATTGTTTTATCAATCATAACTTTTCAAATTCTTCCGTTATGAGAATTATGATTATAATTAAAAGCAATATCAATGTACTCACTTATCAAGAAAATAATAATTTAATTATTAAAGGGCTTAAGGACTTAAATTCTACCATTATGTAATTAAAATATTCGTATTTAATTAAATAATCAATCAAATTTAAATTTAGTAAAAAGACAAAATGATAATTCAACTTTTTACTTTGGAGCTTCCCACTTATAATAATATATGATATGATGATCAGTTAAAATGACTTTTTTGGCGGACCGACCATTAAACAACCTTTGAACTAAGTCATGACTCATAGGGCTGTTCATGGTTATGGTTAAAAAATCAAATCGAACCGCAATCCGAACCAAACCGATTTAAAAAATTGATATTTGGTTTGGGTTGGTTAGGTATTGGTTTTAAATTTTGAAAATCGATACCATTTGGTTTGATTTTGGTTTTACTAAAAAACAACCGCAAAAATAACCAAACCGAACCGACAAAATTAGATATAAATTTTATAATTATTTATATATTATTCATAAATAAAATATAATATTTTGTTACATTTTAATTAACCGAAATCTTTAACTTTACAATTTTCTCAAGCGCAACACTTTAGTCCAACTATAACAATCCTAAGTCCAAGTCTATCAAAATTCATTTGTCTTTACCTATCCTGCTAACCGATAAGTTAGTATTGCTTAATTAAACCGACAATAGTTTTTTGTGGATTGTTCATGTACTAGGTGTTTGTGTCTATCGAGATAAGTACTTCCCAAATAAAATATTACTTTCAAACCGAATAAACCAGAAAAATTGAACCAAACCGACGGTTATTTTTTTTCGTTTAGTTCGGTTTAAAAAATTTTAAAAATCAACTAGATTGGTTTGATTTTGATTTTAATCAATAATCGATTCAAACCGAACCACGAACACTCCACTCATGACACATTTTTACGCCTAATTAATGTTGACTTTTTTGGTGATTTTTATGATTTGATTATTAATATTAAATTCACAACGTCGTCATCGTTTGCAAGTTGGCTCAGATTACAGACCTCCTTTGGAATGTTGCCACTGAGTACTGACTCTATTCCCAGACACATTTTTGTGTCATTTCCAACAGAAGGAGGGATTAAACCCGTAAGACTATTGTTCCTGAGATTTAAGACTCTGAGTTCGGCTACATACCATGGCCCTCTCCACATTTCACCACTGGTTATGAATTAGTGATGAAGGCAAAAAGGTAGGTGGCAAGGATATTTTAGGCCCGAAAGATAGAAAAAGGATAATTTTGTACCAATGACTTTTTTGGCAGACCGACCTTTAAACAGCCTGTCATGAGTCATGACATATTTTTCCGGCTAATTAATGTTGACATCGGCGATTTGATTATTAGTATTAAATTCACAACATGGTTATCGTCTATCCAAGAAGAAGAAGTAAGTCTCATATTTCTTTCTCTATGTAATCACAAAAATCATATAAAAATGGAGAAACGATTTGAAGGGAAAGTGGTGATTGTTACAGCTTCTACACAAGGTATTGGATTTAGCATAGCTCAGAGACTTGGATTTGAAGGTGCTTCTGTTGTTATCTCCTCTCGCAAACAGGTTTGTGTTTTTTTTTTTTCTGTATATGTATGTGTGTTGTTTAATCTCTTCATATTGAGGTTTTGACTTTAGGTATTGTCTATAGGAAAATGTAGATGAAGCAGTAAAGAAACTGAGAGATGGAGGAATTGAAGTGTTGGGATTAGTATGTCATGTCTCAAATGCACAACAGAGGAAGAATTTGATAGACAAGACCATTCAGGTATGAAATGATGCTTGGGAATGGTTTTTCAATGACAAGTCAATCAATGCTTACTGGAGTACTTCGTTTGTAATTTTTAAGAAATATGGGAAACTAGACGTGGTTGTGTCAAATGCCGCTGTCAATCCTTCAGTAGATGCAATATTAGAAACTAAAGCATCAGTCATTGACAAGCTGTGGGATATCAATGTCAAGGCCGCTATACTATTACTACAAGTAAGTTGTGTGGTGTGGAGCATACATACATTGACTATTAATTGTTCACATATTTCCATATATATACTCCAAATTCTCGAATTCCCGATCATGTTCTGCTATTGCGCTTATCTGTTTATAGGATGCAGCTCCATACCTTAACAAGGGTTCATCAGTTGTTCTGATTTCCTCAATTTCTGGTTACTCCCCACCAGCTTCAATGGGTATGTATGGGGTAACAAAAACTGCACTACTCGGACTTACCAAGGTACTATTTAACTTGGCACATGAGTGAGTAACTAATCTATGGAGTATATATATATATATCATACCTATTACTGCTTTCTTCTTATTGTCTTGTTTGGAAAGCCAGGCTCTTGCAGCTGAAATGAGTCCAGATACTCGTGTAAACTGTGTAGCACCGGGTTTTGTACCTACACATTTTACTGATTTCATCACAAGTAATGAACAAGTGGTAAGTTCTTATTAAATTAAATCTCTTGCGAATATTCGCTATTTACTTACTAACTAGTTGCTGATTGTGTTTAGAGGAGAGATATTGAGGGTAAGACATTACTCAATAGGCTTGGAACAACACAAGATATGGCCGCTGCTGTTGCTTATTTGGCTTCTGATGATGCTTCTTATGTAACTGGAGAAACTCTGGTTGTTGCTGGAGGAATGCCTTCCAGACTTTAACTTCTCTATTGCAGTGCCTCTCCTTCTGGTTTTAGCTCACTTGCATCAGCCTAGGAGGGACATGCTTATGATGTTATGCAATACCAAGGGGAAGCATGAATCAGACCAATAAGACACTGCTCTCTGCCTGTCGTTACACCGGAGTTCCATTACCTTATTCCTTACTTTTGTACAACTTCTTTCTTTTAGCTCTATTCACCTTGAGAGCAGATTAGCTACAAGATGTTCAACTTTTATCTCAACTGATAGATAATAATAATCAACAGAAGTTTGAGATGAAAATTCTCTAGCATTATCAAGGTAAATAGCCTTAGAAGTTTGGAAAGTGTGCTCTTGTTTATATTATTTTGGCAAAATGGTCTGGTGGACACTTGTACTTGTATCAATTTGTATTGTGAACAATTCTAGTTAATTATTTGCCATCTGAACCCTTAAACTTAATTAAAATGAGATTTTTAAACCCCTTTGACCGTTGACCAGGCTTATGTGGCATTTGTTTTGCTGAGTAAGATATGGCGCGTGCTATCACACATATAAAAGCAAGTGGAAGCAATGAATTTGCTTTAAAAAATATTAAATAATAAAAAGAAAAAGAAAACGTCCCCAACCCCATCATTGTCTTGAAGGCAAAGAATTAGATGCAAATTTTAAAGGTGTCATCATAAACCTCATCAGCCTTTCAATATCAAATTTAGGGGTCTTGACTTTTGAGGATTTTACCTTTTGAATATAATCATTTTTAGGGGAAATGTGCTGAAGTTGTTTTCTTAATTTTCCTGCAAATTGATTCATGGATGAATTTTACAATCATCTTCCTGCGGATCTAACAATGGTTGTCATATCTTGCTTGGTTTCCCTTCAAGTCACAGAAACTTGCTTGATTTCTCATGATCGCAATCATCTTTCTGCAGATCTGACAATGCGTTGAGATTTATTTTGACTATGCATACTTTTCTTTTTCTTTTTTCTTCTACGAAGACCCCAAAAATGCCCCAGTCTATTTTTCGCAAAGTTGTTCTATTCCTGTTTAATCTCTTCAAATAAAGTGATGTCTTTTTTTGGTGTGAAAAAAAATTGAAGAAGAAAAGAACAGGGGATATGGAGATTGAGATGCTGAACGCAAGCACTAACTAGCGATGAGACAGAACAAGGGCGAGTCTCCGAGTCATTCGGCTATGTTGACAATGATTGAAGGTTAGGGGAGGTGGAGGAATGGTGAGAGAAACAAAAACTTTATTTTATTTGGTAAAATAAAAAATTTATTGATTTTGTCTTTTGTTTAATATTTTTTATCAAAAAAATATTTAAGAAAATTATGACATGTCATTTATGCAAGGGAGAGTGAGCTACACACATAGCTGGAGGGATTTAAAAGTCTCATTTTAATTGAGTTTAAAAGTTCAAATGACAAAAGGATAAGTAAAAGAATTCACAATACAAACTGATACAAGTACAAGGGTCCTCAAAACCCTTTTACCTATTATTTTTGCCAATAGTTTTGCAAACGTCAGGTTGCAAGATGATAATAAGCACATATTACCCTCTCAAAGATGCATCTATTAGGACCATAAATATCTAAGCATTGGCTTGTTCACATGTATCCTTATCAGTTCACCACTGTATCCAAATGATAAGTTTACAGTCTTACACCAACCTTATAATAAGGAGGTTGTTTCTGATAGACCCTCAGGTCAAGTATAAGAAAATGTGAGAAATAAACTTTTCATTAATAGCTGGTGATAGTAGATATTAGGAATTAATGAAATAGTAATAGTATTACTTATACAATTATAAGAGAAGCTGAATCATTACACTGATATGGAAACTAATTCTACAGAGAATCCCACAGGCAAATGTGCATACGAAATGAAAGCTGAACAAAGATATGAACATATATAAACACCTTGATAGTTTTATATACATAATAAAGTAAGTAGCTGAAATCACACCAGATAGAGATTAGCACAATACAACACGCGTAGCTGCTTAAGATATAGCACGCTTTTATCCTCCTCATCCTTCCGGATATCAGCTAAAACTTGGGAAGATAAACTTTAGACATCTACAATCTTCAGTGTTTCTCTGCTCATGTTCCCTATGGGGATTATCAGGGGCATAACCGAGGCTATGTTGTCCTCGCGTTGCCATCTGCTCAAATCTTTCGCCATGACTTATCAGAAATCAAAATTGAAACTATATGAGCAAACTTATACAGGGATCACATCAGCATTTTGACTGTCGTCACATGTCAAGATGAGACCTTCGATGTAAGTAGGGAGAAGACAACGGGTCCATTGACAACCTGTTGAAACAGGGTCTACTGGTGGAACAATCATTAGGACGTTCTCATGGCGCCTTACAAGCCCCATTACACTTACGGTGCTTCCTTCTTTGATGTAACTGTCATTAGGAGCAACCGTAAAGAATCAGCTAAGTCTCAGAAAGTTGTCACAAATTTATAATGAAGGCACGTAAATATGATCTATCAAATTCGTGAAATTGCTGAGATAAACCCACAATCCACAACTTACCCTTCTTTGAGGCGCATTATGCGGTCATCACTTGAGAGGCTCCGATCAGCAAGCCAGCGCAGGAAGTTGGGAGACAACTCTTTGTTATTCTTTGTTACATCAATGACTGTAGTTGGCTTGACAAATGGGACAACTTTTGCTCCGTAACCTGCCTTCACTATAGCTCTTAATCCAGACTGGAAGTCCGAGATGTAGAAATCAGCCACATGTTTCTGTTATCAAAAGGTAAAAAACAACCCATGAATTTCTGATAGGAGTTTTGGATGAAATATTTGGAGTTGGGGCCAATACAGAAACCCAGTTGGCAAGAAGCATCTATGTCTTGGGTGTTCAGACAGCATCAGAAGAATTTACTATCACTAATACTGCAGCAACACAAAGTCAACAACCATGCAAAAGCTAACCAGCTAAAGCCTTAGTCAGGAATTTAGCATATGATGAAGTTACTGATATTGAAAAAGTCAAGTTGTTAGCATATGATGTTGATCAGGAGGCCTGTTGACATTATACAAACTTGAGGGTGTTGGCATGTCATGTAAATTTGTTCAACCTTGAACAGTGATAACCCGTGGCAGGCCCTTTGACATTCTATGAACTTGCAAGGGTTAACATGTAGCACTAAGTCGTCATTTGGTAGGATATATTAGAAAAAATAATACATGTATTAGCTTTGTGTATTACTAATATCTTGTTTGGTACACTTTTTCAACCTCTCTATTTTGTATTATACTATGTATAACTAATGCATGACAACCATGATATTAGAATTTTTAGTGCCTGCATTAGCATGGTTAAAAGATACAATTGCCCCTCAAAACCTTTTACACATCCTTTCCACTGTATTTGTGGGGGTATTTTTGTAAACAAACAACTTATATTTTAAAAATTATGCAATGCATGTTATTTTTAATACATCAAACCAAAAAAAGGTATAAGAAATAATATCAGCATTACTAATATACCCTACCCCACACTATTCTTATACACTCCACCAAACAACTCCCGATTGTTCAACCTTGAACAGCAACAGTCTATGGGCTCCCCACATGCCCTGGCTCTCAATCTTTCAGTTCATCAAGTTGATATAACTTTATTCAAGTTCCTACATAATAAAACTATAATACTATGGCAGTCACTTGGAAGCATTACAAAACTTCTCATGGGGGATATATTGATACAAGGACCCAGCAAGTATATCTTTGCAACTGTGTTATAAAAGAATAATATGATACTTGTAATAAAACACCACCATTGTTAACACCAATTCAGTCTGCCAAATAAACCTATAAATGCAATCGTTAATATATGCAAAACTAACCTCTGAATGCCTGCGTCCCCATGAGAAGCAACGGTGGCTAGGATTTGCTGATTTTCCACCCCAACCTTTGTACTCGTCCAGTTCTGTTGAAGCATATACACATCTTGCTGTCCGCTGAAAAGAAGTTTCAAGTGGGATACTTCCACAAGTGACAACCTACACAAAACAATATATTATATCCTTCATATTGTTCTCGGAATTCAATGTAGAATTGGATATCTGACTACACCCTAATAGTATGCTATGAAAATTCAAAACAATCATTAATAACTGTGAAAAAAAATATGTGAGCTAATCTCTGTAGAATTCTCCTTCAAAGGCTCTCAAATGTGAGAATATTTTTTTAATCAGAAAATGTGCAAGTAATTCTGTATAGTGTCCAGCCAAATATGCAGAACCCACCTCATATGCCAATTTCTGAACTTGAGAGTAATTTTTAAGGAGGAATATAAAATTCATTTTGGCTGATAGAAGTAGACATTCAATCGCACAGGTTAACCAATAACCACCATATTCTAAGTACTCTTGCAGTCTGAGAAGGATGATTACCATGGAACCTTAAAGATGGACTCCTGCAAACTGATTTATAACTGAGAGATTTCCAAGGGAGAGTCGACACAAGGTTTGATACTTGATAAATAATGGACTTGTCCCTCCACCCTTCTCCATTTAAATACCAAGATTTTAGTTCACCAACAGGATTCAAATTCGTGACGTACTCCTAACCGACACATCACGTATTTTGCTCTTATCACCAAACAAAAGACCCTCAACGGATACATAAATACAATTTAAACCCAGATTCATCGTTCTACTTTCTATTTAGGAGTGCTTACGGTTCATGAACCTTTCAAACATACACCAGTAAAAGAATTTCCTTTTCAAGCGGTATTCCTGTAAAATGCTTAATAGCATGCAGTAGGGGTTTGCTAGAATGCTGGCAGGGACAGGAATTTAAGAAGGATCTGAAACAGCTATGTTTCACCTGTTCCTTTATGCATTTCTCTATAATCGGAAAGGATAGAGCTTGTTCTGAAGGCCAAAAATGTCGTATTTCTAGAATCAAGAACAATCTCATGGTCTGTTTTCTGGTGTAAAAGTAGGCAAATTATGGGTATGGAACAGTACATGGATTTTCTAGAAATGTTTGGAGGAAGGAAGTAGTGAGCAT